CCTAATATAGTGTGACGTACATAAGAAGACAAAAAATCAGTATACCCATTGAATTGGGGCCTACTGGCTGTTAAGCCACCCCAGGACAGCATTTGCACTAAAACTTTGTACTTTCATTGGCTATAAGCATCTCCCAGACAATATAATGCCATTATACCAAACCATCAAGACTCTCTTGATCTTTGATATTTACAAGGTATCATCTATAGGTCATAATATTCTGACTGACTCTTCACTGATGAAACCTTTACATCCATTTAGAAATAATTTGGGATATCCAGACCTTCCGATGTGACAAGGAAGGATGGGTACTATGGTTGCTGATACTATACAGCCTATTTGCATAAAGGTATAGAATCACAGAATCATTTAAGTTGGAAAAGCCCTCTCAGATCATCAAGCTCAACCATTCCCAAGATTTCACACAATGGCAGTATGAGATTTTGGCACAGAGGATAATATTGGCTCAAATGTGGCAGGAGGGTGCTCCTGCCTGCACTGTTCCACCTTGATCAAAGCACAGCAGAAAGCACACAGCAAACAAAAAACTAATGGGGGCGAAAAACTCCCAGTGTATGATTAGCTAGGAGTGTGGATCAGATCAAATAGGAACCAGTAAATAACCAGACCATGGATGGAGTTCAGATTCCCACCAGGCTTATGTTACAGCCTTTTACAGCCTGTTAAAACATCCTCACCCCCATAAACCCCATCTGAGAGAAAAAAAAAGATAACCATAAAGCAAAATAGAGAAATCCCTACATTAGCAATTTTTCCGTGCTCTTTCAGCTTCCCGTGGTCCCTTGAATCCCTGGCAGAACTAGGCAAGAAAATGCCTATTTCTGTGATCGTATGGATTTTTCTTTAAATGGAAAAACTTTATTTATCTAAGCTGTTGCCAAACAGAACCACTTTCAAGGGGATCATTTTACAGCACAAAGCTTTGAGAATGTGCACTTTTTGACAATGTAGAAAAATAATTTGTTACTCCTCGTGGTACTGCTGCTTGGGATAAATTAACAAAAAATTTATTCAGAGCGTAATGCATCCATTTCTGGTCTCTGCCTCCTCCTCAGAGAAGGCCGTTCCAGTCTGGGTGAGTGATTTCTTGGCATTTCCCCAAATTGCTCGGGGACTTCGTTACATTATCATGGAGTTACTGACAGGCACCTCGTGGGGGCAGCATGTCCTCTCTCTTTCTTTTTCTAATCTCCTTCATTAGACCCAGCTCTGCTTCCACATTGAATAAAAAAAAAAGCGGTGTACACAATACAAACAGCATTATTTTGCTTATGCTATGTTAATTAACGAGGGGCTCAAAGAAAGCTGGTGACATCCCACCTTTATAGCTGGTGCTGTAGGAGATAATGTTGCCCTGCTTCACAGAGAGGGAAAAAACAGCTGAGCAAACCCCCAGACTCATAAAGTTTGGAAGAGCCCCGTAAGACCATTGAGTCCAACCATTCCAAACCAAGCCCATTACTAACCCATGTCCCCAAGTGCCTTATCCACACATCTTTAAAATCCCTCCAGGGATGGAGACTCTGCCACTGCCCTGGGCAGTCTGTTCCAATGCCTGACTGCCTTTTCAGTGATGAAATTTCCCCTAATATACCATGTAAACCTTCCCTGGTGCAACTTAAGGCTATTTCCTCTTGTCCTGTCCCTAGTCCCCTGGGAGCAGAGCCCAGCCCTCACCTGACTTCACTCTCCTATCAAGGCTGTTGCAGAGTGATAAAGTCTCCCCCAGACTTCCTTTCCTCCACACCGAGCCCCACCCAGCTCCCTCAGCCACTTCTGGCACTCCAGCCCCTTCCCCTGCTCCATTCTCTTCTGTGGACATACTCCTGCCCCTCGATGTCCTTCTTGTCATCATGGGCTCAAAACTGAACCCAGGATCCATGTGACATGCTCAGGATGCCCTATGGCTGGCAGTCAAGGAAAGGATAAATCACTGCAGGTGGGCCTGCATCCAGCTGCCATGCCTTTTCCATAAACTGAGTCACGTACCCTTTTGTTCTATTTGCCAGAGAGAGCCCTGATTTGAGAGAAAGACAACAAAATAGGACAGCAACTATGTCTAAACACATGAGGAAAAAGTGGTGAAAGTGGAAAGTCCCCTCTTCCAGCCTCTTGTGAGGGACAGATTTATCAGGATTCTTGCAGGTATAATGAGGAATGTTAGGAGGACAGGGCAATCTTAAAGAACCAGAGAAGTGCAAATCTACTTCATATATCAAGCAAAACAAAAGCAGAGAAAGAGGCAGGTGCTGATCTAAAGGAAAGACAAGCCCACAGGCAAGCAAAGATGCCCATTTCTCAACAGAGATTTTAAGAACAGCTTTATCAGAGCTGGTCTATTGTGGCCAGCAGCCTATCTCAGCCAAGGGAAATGACCTAGATAAGGCAGCAAGAGCATAGCAATTCCACCCTAACAAAAATTTGTCAGAGCTGGTCTTGCAGTATGGAAAATCACAGGATATTCATTAGTATATCACTTTTTGTAGGAACAGAGCCTTGTTTGAAATAACTCTCTCCCTCCTCTGTGTTAGGGGGATTTTCAGTCTGCAGCTATTCTTTGATCTAAAACTTGATAATCAAAAACTTTGCTTGGAAAAAAGCTCTGCAAGAACTGACTTCCTCCAGTTCTGGAATCCTCAAAGGTAGATTCCAATGAATTGTCACGAGTAGTTATGAGTACTTTGGGCAGAGCTTTTCTTGCTACACATTTCCAGAGAAGTCACTGGAAACACAACCTTACTACCAGCTAGCAGAAAACAGAGTTACAAATCAATACCACTGGGGGTGAGGAAAAGGGGAAGCAAGCAACACAACCAGGTTTATCTTCTTGAGCAGAAGGCTTTCAAATTCCATTGGCCAAGCTTGAAACGGGCAAAGAGTAAGTTTAGCTTTCACCTTGGAGAACAGCAGTCAGGCTGTGAAAGTCAGCCAGCACTGATTGATCACTGCCATGGTTCACAGGCCAGACCCAGACCAAAAAAACCCAGGTTAAACTCTCCCTTGTTACTAGAAGAGTCCACATGAACTTTTCAGCACTGTGAGCTATTTCTGGAGCACTTTGCACTTTCAATAGAAGCCTGGGAGCTGTGACAAGAACAATCACAGAGTGGTTTGTGTAGGAAGCGACCCTAAGTCTCATCTTGTTCCAACTCCCATGCCATGGGGCAGGGACATCTTCCACTAAACCAGGCTGCTGGCCTGCAGCTCTTCCAAGGATGAGGAAGGAAGAGCTTCTTTGGGCAGCCTGTGCCAGGGTCTCACCACCCTCATAATGAAGATTTTCTTCCCAATATCCAATCTAAAGCTCTCCTCTATTAGGTTTATTGCCTATTTAGAGAAGTTATTATTTGGGCCTTGTCCTATCGCTAAGCACTCAGTTTAGAAAGTCACTTTTTTTATGAAGTTCCCTTTTAAGTACTGAAAAAGGCTGGAACGATTTCTTCACCTGGGCACCAGGGATGCAATCCAACATTTTCTGTTCTAGGCAGCAACAAAACCCAATGTAATCTGCTATAAGGAGCAATAGAGCATGCTCATTCTGTACCTGTTCAGTGAAGGAGATCCACAGATGGAGGCTGCCTCAGCTCCTTGTACACTCCCAGGCAAAATCCCAACCTTAAACCGTGAAGATTTGCTTAAACTATCCTGGCTGCCCCATGCAGGGAGAATGCAGATGGCAGAACAGAATCATTAAGGTTGGAAAAGATTTCTAAGATCAAGTCCAACCCTTAACCTAACTCTTCCAGGTCTACCACTACACACTTCCAAAGATGGTGATTTTGGTGTGAGTCTGCTTCTGTAGAGACAAACCATTTTTTTCCCCACAGGAAAAAAGGCACAACTGCAATCATACAAACTAATACCAGCCACAAACCCTGCAACACATCAAAGGGATCAAAGCAGCCCACTATTTTTGCCCAAGTTTATTTCTAGAAATTTGTACAAAAATTGATACTCTGTAATACAATAATCTATCAAATATGACAGATGAACATTTGTCTTTAGAGGCAAGATTCCAGGGACGTGAAATACCATCCTCTTGCATGGAAGAAAGGCACATTTTAGAGCTCAAGATACACTCAACTGAATGGTTGAAAAGGCAGGTCAGACATGCAAGTAGTGCAGTGTTTCAGGTTTATACATAAATTGTACTCTCAAGAAATCTCACTACAAGCATGTTAATATCCACGTAAACATTTTATAAATACTTTTAAAAGTAGCTCACTTTAGATTCTATGTGTGCAAAGGCTACTCCTTTACATTCACTGGACGGAGTAATTAGAAGCTATCTCCAGGCCAGAAGTAACTTCTAGATTCCCCAAATACTTTGGGCATCCAAAGCACTTGCATCAATAGTCCAACTGCATTTTTTCACTATGGGCTACCCCAAAGTTCTGCAACACCAGGGCTACACAACTGCACCATCCACTGCTCCTGGAGCTTATCCTTGGAGTTTTGTGGCTGTGAAGAAGTCCCATGTTTCCAGCTACAAGCCTCTGTACAAGCAGCACCTGGGACACACCTGCTTCTAAATTGACATTTCAAATACAGTGGTGAATTTACAGCCACAAAAGCATCCACTACACTATGGATCAAGGTTCACCTGACTCTTTCCACTTGGCTTCCTGCACCATCCGGCACAGATGACACACCAGGGGGGTTGGCAGCCCAACTGTACTTCCAGAAAGGGTTTTCCCAAAGCAGAAATACCCTTGCACTACATAAGCATGTCCCAACAGGGATCTTGTGCAACACACTTGTAAAACTGCCATGCTGCTCAAATCAACCTGCTCCTTTTTAGATTAAAAACCACATGGATTCTACTCTCCCAGAATCACTTGTGCTAGTGGGTACAGTAGCTGTAGAATTTTTTCTAATCCATTGCTGGTGGTCCAAGAGCATTATATAGCAGATTACAAAGGCAATAATTTAAGTCATCTAAATCCTCACAGCAGTGCGGAGTTGTGGTTTTTTTTTTGTTTTAAAAGATGTTTGTAATGGGATTTCTCTAAAGCAAAGCCTTTCTTTATTATTTTTTAGAGTGGTCTAGCAATACTTCAAACACTTGCTTTGAAGGATACATACATCCACACATGCTTTCAAGTACACAATGACAACTTGGACTCCTGGAAAAGATGTGTTGGTTCTGAAAGAAGGAGGTGCTATGGAGCCAGTGCCTTCAGTTGACTTCCAAGACTTCAGTCTCCGGCAGGCCAAATCTGCTCTTGTATTTGTCAAAGAGCTTGATCAGGGAGTCCACATACATGCTATGGTAGAAGTCCACATCCTTCTGGGATGGATTATCGATTTTGGGGATGGTGATGGGCTCTCCAACTGACAAAAAAGGGACATATCCACGTTAGCTTAAATGCTCCTACAACCTGGGTATTTGTCTTCTATGGACAAAGCTATAATAGTTCAGCACATCCATTCTGGCACAACACAGTCTGCCATTGTAGCAGAGGTTTGCCTGATTCCTCCCAGTTTTACCAGGCTCTGAAGCACAACTTTCCCACAAGGACACACATCCCATCTGCAGCAGTAACAGATTTGCTTCAGCTACACAAATGCCTCTACTATTTAAGGTGGCTGGGAAGTCATCCTTCTGTTTACAGCAGACTGATAAATCCCTCCTCAGTTAACAACAGCCAAGAGTCAGTTCTTATGTATACCCCTGTACACATCACAAAAGCAAAGCTGACCTTTTTCCCCTTCCCTCAAAGCCTCACTGCTTTGGGTTAGAAGACTCAAATGCAAGTTTCAGGGTTGGCTTTAATATTCAACTGTCAGATATGCATCCCTCTGGAGCATGGGGGTCAGGTTGCTTCTGACTTTAGTTATCCAAAGACAAAGAAAGTAGAGCTACAGCCTTTTCCCCCAAAAAAGAGCTCTCTTGCAAAACTGCCTGGAAGCAGAACATTCAATGAAGGCTTGTAACCTCTGGAAACACTTCTAGCTTGTTCTCAGTTTAGACTCAGCATATTCTCAGCATCGACTCAAGTATTCTGCTACCTAGAGAGGCACACAGCACATTTATACCAAAACCTTACCAACAGTAGTGATGGGCTTGGAGTAAGGTATTAGCCCCCAGGTGTTGGAGGAGAAGAGGCCACGGCCATGAAAGATGCATGGAGCAAAGCCAATGTGCTTCTGGAACTTCTTCTGAACCCATCTTCCCCAGGAACCCTCTTCAAAGATCACCTGCTTGTATACTTCATTCTCCCCAAAGGAGTAGACAGGAACCAAGTCCGCTCTGGAAAGACAGAAAGATTCAGGACCCCACCCCCTGGACTACAGTCCATATGACAGCCCCACACTTGCTGCTGTGTATTCTGCCAGGCTGCACAGTTGCTTGTACCATTGCCCAGAACTTTTATTGCAGCACAAGGTACTGACATAAGCCAGCCAGACTTGGCATGACATAACAGATCTACTTTGAAGGCATACAAGAGAATTGTACTGACAATGGTCCTGTGGAACATTGCTCAGTCAGGCAGTGGCCATGCTTCCATATATACTCAACTCCTATTTTTGATGGCCATCTCCTTTCAGACACATGGGGATCAGGGGGACTACACAGGTCATCACCCCATACTGACACTGCCTCTTCCTTGCCCTGGAAGCCTCCTGCTGTCCCAGGGATCCCTCTGCCCCTATACCTTGCTCAGGGGGCAGAAGCCAAAGGACACTCATGTCTGATGCTCTGGGCAAACATCCACACAACACAAATACTGCAGAAAGGAGAATTCCTCCAAGGTATCAGCTGCTTCAGGGAACAATCACAGAATAGTTTGGGCTGAAGGGGACCTTTAAAGGCCATCTATTCCTATCACCTTACATTAAGCAGGGACATCTTCACCTGATCAAGCTGTTCAAATAAATGCACCTTCCACAAGGTAGCAGTACTGTGCAGCACTGAGCTTGCCCCTTACCCATGCCGTAGAGCCAGTTTCACGAATCCTTTCCGGTTCTTCAGTGTCACAGAATTCTTCCCTGGGGTGCAGTTCAGGGACTCTGCTGCCCCTCCAACCACGATAATGATGGCATTGCCACTGCCATTCTCGGACAAGATGTAGTCTATGCTGTCACGGTTCACAGGACATATACCTGGATTAAGGAAGACAGACACAAGGGTCACGCTACGAGATTGGCTGGTGACTTCAGGATCTTCTCACACTTACAGCACAAAGTTTATACCTCAATTGCAAGTTGAGTTGTCCCAACCTCTCTGTGATCAGATAGAGTGGTATTAGCAGGCAACCTGTTCCTCAACTAAACAAGCAGTTCATAGGCCTGGCAGCACTAGACTTGGTCAAACTCCACAAACATCAGCTCTCAAAAATTTTCCTTTATCAAAAGACGTCAGCAAGGATTTTCTATACCTAGTGGTATCAAAGGCATCCTTCCTCCATGTAAACTTTACAGTAGGATTTGGTTTACCTTTAGTGAGGAAGAAAGTAATTTTTATTTTGATGGATGAGAGTCTGATTTTGACCAATTCCTCAGCAAAATTAGGTAGTGGAATATATATGGGAGAATTGTTTAGTGATATAAAAAGAATAAATGAACAAACCTTTAAGACAGATCTGTGATATGAAGCTCTTGCAATGTATGGGACAGAGTGTTTACCTAAGACCATATTCTGAGGAAAGTGTCTGTGAAGGTTTTTCCTGCTATTCCACACTGGAAAGAGCGGGACCTCTCTTCACCTTTAGTAAGCAATCTGTCCTAAAGCACCAGTCCCCACTCCAGGAAAATGAAAACCCAAAGACAGCACCTTTAATTTCCTCTGTATTGCTTTAAAAATGTGAAGAAAATGGATTGCCTGCTCTTTGAACTCTTACTTTTATTCTACAGTTGGTGTCCAAGCTTGCTCCTGCCTCAAGTCTTTGGCCAGAATAAGCCAAGGAGAAGTGGGATGCCATCACTTACATTCCTATCACACAACACATCTCATCTGAGTACTTCAGGTCATTGTCCTATTACACTATTTAATCTTAGAAGCTAATTTTGCACATCGCATGGTATTGATTGCTTGAGCCAAGAACTAAATGATGGACAGGTCCTGGGGACTTAGGCAGGACAAGTCTGTCAGCCTTGAGGTCTATCTGGGCATCAGGGTCATCACCTATCCCAGCTCCAGGTAAGAACAGAGCAGACCACTCTTGAGACAGATCAGTTGGAATTGAAGATGAAGCATTAGTGTCTTTCAGCACAGCTACATCACTGACTGTTTTTCCCCTGAAAGGCTCAGAGGAAAACTCAGGAATACTCACGGCTCCATCTTTCTCCCATTCTCCACACCAAGGCTCATACTGGCTACACAGGCCTGGCAACAGATTTATGTTCAACTTTTCCACACTTGTTAGCAGGAGACTACTGCTGCTCACAGCACCAAATAGTTCCTTCAGAAAGTGCAATGAGACATGGAGACAAATGGCAAGAGATAAATTCTGCTCTTTAACACATTCACACACTATATAGGGTTTTGTGGTCATCCCCTCATGCTTTACAGGATCCCTGTTGTACCTTAACCTCTGGCAGGCTGTAAAATTAAGAATTTGTATGAGTTGTAAACCAACTGTTTATTGGCACAGTGTTAGGATTTGTTATAATTCCACCTGAAAGTGGTTTGTCCACAGGAAAAAAAAAAGATGGTATTATCAGCACTTTCCAAGTGATGTTAAGGCCTTTGTATCAGCACCCTTAAGTTCTAGTTACAGGAAAGTGAAGACAAATTATGGCTTTCAGAAGGTTAACTTCATCACACCTGTAGTCTTGCTTAGATGCTAGGAATAGAGGAAGCACAAGTTTCCTCTGGTTTAATCACAGTGTTCAGGGATAGCCAAGCCAGTAAGGATGTTGCTAATGACTACTCCCAACATTCCTTCCAAAAAGGAGAAAGGAGCTCTGGCTGGCCACAAGACTTGTCAGCCAGTCATACTGAACAGACTGAAAATGCTTTTTTAAAATATAAAAAGGTTTCATGGAAACTTAAGAAACACAACTAAATTTACAGCTATAACAGACTGGAAAGCAGATCCCAACTTCTCATATGCCACTGTCCCATGAATTCCCAAATTACGGACTTCACACAGCAACCAGCATCAGTACATGAAGATAAAAAACCAGCTTGAGATACTGCTCTTTCTAAATAGAGACAAACACCTTTTCTGCACCACATCCAGTATTTCTCTCCCTCAATTAAGACAGCAATCTCAGAAATAGTCAATTCTAACAAATCAGTCAGGTACAGCTACTCCTATTGTCTTCCCAGCCATGGCACTTATTAAGGTATCTGTTTTATTTATTGATGAATCAGTTCCAGAAACAGCAAACAGGTTACTGGATTGCTCAATTCACGGTCTTTAAGTATTACTCCCTCACCTCTATCTAATTCACAGGTGTCCTCACTCCAAAAAAGGAAGCTCAGGCCATACAAGAACACTTTATTGGTATTTTAAGCACTGCTTCCTCTGCCCGGTCATAGCTTATAAGAGTCCAGCATTAAAATCCTGGACTCCATTAAAACAGACCTATTAATGTAATTCAGCACATTTAGATCACTGCATAATCCATGTGATCCATCTACAGGAAAAATTCAGGGAAGGGACTCTCTGAACAGCTGCAATCATGCAATACCCCAGACTCTTTACACCTGGCAGGCACCCAGCAGTGCAGTTGGGTGGAGACAGCATCCACCACCACCATGAAACACAGATGTGTGACAACTTATGTGGTAGTGAGCCCAGGAGCTGAGCTGGCCATGGTTACTCAGTATTTTCAGTCAGTGCAACTTCTTCCTGTACCTTCTCACAATAACTAGGAAAAGCTTGGTTCCGTATCTCCACCTTCCACAACTACAGTTGTCATATATCTTTACTATGCTTTTGGACAAGAGTATCCTAGAGTTAAGGATGAACACAGAGGAGCAGAATTTCCTGCAGCCCAAACTAGTTATATTTACAGAATCACAGAATGGTTTGGGTTGGAAGAGACCTTAAACATCATCCAGTTCCAACCCTTTGCCAGAGACAGGGACACCTCCCACTAGACAGGATTTCTCACGTTTATTCACAGTTTCCTCTTGACAGCTACATGAAATCAATGTTTGGGTGATGCTACCAGCATGAAGTGGTTAGGTGAACTTGCAGGTTACAAAAGGTTACAGTTTTTCACTTGAGAGGTGAAGACAGCTCAGAGCCAAGACCAAGAGCAGAAATGGCACGGTGTAATTGTGCTTACCACCAGACATTAAGTAGTCCCTCAATATGGGCATCCTGAAGTTCCCAGCCAGGGTAGCAAGGTACGGTCGGATCCCAGGAAATTTCTGGCTGACACCCGTGGCCTCTGTGCTGAAGTTGCAAAAGGCACCCAAGCCCATGATGCCATGTGGATGGTACCCAAAAATGTAATTCCTGGTGGTCAGCAGATTATGGGTTTTAACCAGCTAGGAAAGAAAAAAAAAAAAAAAACCTCAATTGAAGATGGATATTTTCAGGTTGTAAATAAAAATGGGAGAAGTAAAAAAAGTCACGTCCCCCAGGTTTTGTCTCTCTTCCCACCAGGGAGAACAGCCTAAGAGCTCATATATGAGCTCTCCTGGATTTCAGAGGCTCTGGTAGGAGCAGCCATTTAGACTTCAATTTCCCAAGCAGAGGAGCAGGATAAACAGGCTGATCTCAGACACAAGAAGCCTGCCAGCCAAGGAATAGGGCATGGGTTCCTGCAGTCTGGGCCTTTTGCGTCTCTACTCCTTCCTAAGGAATTCTTACACACCTCTTGCCCAAACCAATCAAGATCTTCAGTCCTGTAGCCACAGCTACACCTCCTTCCAGGCCCTCTCTCGGCACATTAGTGGCTCACATCCCAGTATGAGGGGGAAGGAACATAAACATCACTGTCTCATAGCAGAAGCAAGTTCACTTAATGCCTGAAAAAAAGAGCCAACCAGTTAATGGGTCTGTTGGCCACCCTCCAAGTGGGAAAATGTGCAGAAGGGTGGTAACCACTGGAAACTATCCCTCCTTTTAAGAGGTTCTGCCCTGGCCTATATGCCAAAGGGTCAACAAGACACCTCAACCCATCTCTGATTCCTTCAGGGAATGCTCTAGAGCTGTGATCATATTGTTCTCAGGCTCTGCAACATTCCTAACCACTTATTCCTCTGCTTGCACAGCATGGACTCTCCACAGCTGTCTTAGACAGCATGGAACAACCCATTCTCTGGCACCACTACTGCCAGGATTTTTTGATGCTATAGGTAGCAGCATCACCCCATGTGTCAGAGCATCTTCCCCAGGCAGTACACATGCAGTCTGAGGAAGCACACAGCACAAAACACAGCAGGGCTGCTGCACCATCCTACAAAAATAGAGATAAAATTTAATTTTTTTCTGTATGTTAGAATAATTGATGTTGGAAGAGACCTTATGGATCCAGTTCCAAACCTCTGCCATGGACAGAGATACCTTCCTCTAGACCAAGATGCTCTAAAGCCCTGTCCATCCTGGCCTGAACACATCCAGAGATGGGGTAGCCACAGCTTCTGCGGGCACCCTGTGCCAGGACCTCACTACCTTAAGAGTCAATCTCTTCCTAAATTCTAATCTAAACATCTTTCTTTAGGCTGCAACAGTGCCACTTTTTGCCAACTGCAACATCCCAGCAGCTCTCAGACCTACAAGCTGAAGCTTTGGCACCCCATCCCTCAAACTGTACATGCAAAGGCCACTCTGCATCAGTTCCCATAGGAAAAAAAAAATCCCACAGATTTTTCAAGATGTCACACCAGCATTACTCACCCTGCTGCCTTGGACAAGAAGTGTTTTGGCACTATGCAAGTTCATTCTGTTGGATTGTGCTACAGGGAACTGAAGTACCATTGTGACACACTAAAGCAGCATGCCCAGAAACTTGATTCCCTCCTCCCATTCTCAGCCTTGACCTCAGATGAAGCTACAGCTCCTGTACTATTCAAAACAGTGTCTGTGATATAGGCATGATGCAGCAGCAGGTCCTGCAAGTTGACTGGCCTTCTTCAGAATTTCCTCTGGCTTTGAGGTCATGTAGAGCTCCAGAAAGAGGGCACAGAGGCTTGTGGTTGCAACAGCTCTGCAGGGCCCCATTGCCTATATCACACCAAGTCATCCTTTCATCCCCTTTCCCTTCTTTTCCAGTAAGTAGATAATTTGCTTTCACTTTGCAGGATAGAAGGGCTGTCCCCTTGATCAGTTACAAGAAACAGCAACCACAGACTAAAGACCAAAACCAATCTTCAGGAAAAAAACAGTGATATGGTAAGCAACCCCTCCATCTATCAGTTCTTGCTTAGTTGTATAGAGACTTCTAAAACAGGCTATCCAGGGCAGTGGTGGACTCCCCATCCCTGGGGTGAGTTAAAAACTTTGTAGATGTGGCACCTGGGTTAGTGGTGGCCTTGGCACTTCTAGCAGAATCGTTGGACTTGATGATCTTAGGGGACTTTTCCAACCTAGACAATATTTTGACTTTTTGATTCCAGGCCTGGTAGGTACAGACACATGGCTAGGCTGGACAAGCAGCAGACACTCCTTCCTTAAAGCTCCTGTCAGAGCAAGGTGGTGATTTCCAAGCCTCATCTCTCACCTACACCAAGCACAGCTCCTTTCATAGGAAAGACATCTGAAAGAGCATTTGTCCTCATCATTCTGGACCACGAGACATCTGCATGTTGAGCTTGGCAGAGACACACATATGAAAGACATGCTGTTCTGCTGCTCCAGCTCCTCCACCACCTCCACCACATGCAAGAACACCCAGATCCCAGTGGAGCCCATTGCCTGGATACCTCATAGGAGCCTCAGCCAAGCTGCAGCCTTATTGCTGTGGTTGCTTTCCAAGAGCTCCTGTTACAGAGCCATAGAGTTGGCAATACCCATGACAATCAATCATCCACACCACTGCAGGAGCTGGGCAAGAGGTGTGCAGGGATCCAACTCACCAACAGCAAGAGAGAAGGGCTGAGATTTATCCTGGTATTCATTCATATGTGCTTTTCCTGTTTGTCCTGTGCAGGCTGCCACTGCCCTTACACCTGTCCCACAACACAGGGGCTCACAGAAGGTAAACACAGAGGTTGCAGGTGAGGGCCAGTCTATTCTCCCAGGTAAGAGGTGATAGGACAAGAGGACACAGCCTCAAGTAGCACCAAGGGAGGTTTAAATTAGGTATTAGGGAAAAATTACCCAAAAGGCACTGGAATAGTTGGACTCAATCTTCAAGGTCCTTTCCAACCTTAGTGATTCTATGTGTTCTTCCACCCAAGTCAAGCCAGGGAACCTAAGACCAACAGACATCAGACAGGGTTGGGCACTTCTCTCCAAGTGGAGGTGTCTGGAATCCACTAAAGCACAAACTCAGCCCTGGGAGGGTCTGACCTGCCAACACCTTCATCTCTCCCTAAATTTAATTTAGAAGCAGGAATTTTTGAAGTACTATAGATCATGTATTTCTAGACTCAAGCAAGAGTGAAGACAGTAAAGTGCACAAGATGGGGCTTTGGAATTAGAACACATTTAAAGGTCCCTTCCAGCCTAAACCATTCTCTGATTCCACGTCTCTCTTCAGGAGGCTGATCATCTGCTGATTGTTTGAACCCCTCCCCTTGAGAAGCAAACAGTGTTAGCAGGTTGCCCCAAGGAACTGCTGTAGCTGTCACTGAACAGCACTATTGCAACTCTGCTCTGAACCTCCAACTGGTTTTTCCTTCTGCCTTCAAGGGCTTCTCCAGTCCCACACAGCTCTTTGGGGCCTTGGCGCTCCCGTAATGAGGCAGAGTCAGCACATTGTCCTCCTGCATCTCAGCTGGACAATCAGTACTGGGAGTGAAGCTGAACCTTCACCCCATTGCACTAACACACCCTTTCCAGTTGCTGCTAGAAACCAAACCTGTTTCTCTGAGAGCAAAGTCCATCCACCTGTCTAATAATAACAGATTTCTTTACACAGAACTAAGCCAGCCTATAGAAGCAGTAAGCCAATGCAGTAGTGTAAAGAAAATGAGTGTTAATATTTGTGTGCCAGATACAGCTAAAGAACCATATTGCCAATTTTATTTTTAGGAACAGCAGTACATTCAGTAGTGGAGAAAGGGGACTGCAGAACCACTGCTGCTCAGCACCAGGAGCCAAAGAGCAGGAAAATAATCAGTTTTTTGCGTGGGAGCTGAGCAGCACTGACTATGGAAGCATGCAGAGAGCAGAAAACCAGAGCTCATCCTACAGGATGAAAGCAGCAGATCTCATGAGCATGTAAACTTGCAAAACAACCCAAGAATTGCACTTAGCCACATCACACCCAGCAACACTACAGAAGAAATTATCTTACCTTCCTAGCAGTGCAAGCCAAGACCTGAAGCCCCCCTGCCAGGCTCACAGTATTATATATGTCACAAATTCACAGAATGGCTGAGTTTGGAAGGGACATTAAAGCACAGCTTGTTCTAACCCCCTGTCACGGGCTGGAATGCCTTCCACTACACTAGGTTAGGACATAGCAATCAAACCCTTCTATTTCCATTCTGTAGCTCATGTACAACAGTTAAGGAGGAGCTTTGCCAGGAAGCTAGCCAAGACACAGAATAGAAGACATATTGAGAAGGAAAAAAACCAAAAAACAAAAAAGACACTTGGCAGCAATTCCTGCTCTGGCCAGATGCCCACTCTCCTACTGCAGTGAGCGGGTCTCCCTGCACACACCTGAAACGCTCACAGTCTGACAAAGGTGAGCCAAAGGTCCGAAACCCTGGCTACCTGGAGTCCTATTGCACATGGAGATGTTCACATGCTCAGGTGACAGCTTCTTTACCTAAACAAAACCTTTAGATCATGGCACTCAGCGCATGACATCAGATCAGCAGTATATGCCAGGAGGCTGCTGGGAGCAACACCATGAGATGGAGATGGTGTATGCAGGTGATGTCTGCTCCAGTCCAGCCCCATGCATACACCTGGCAAGGGCCTGGGCTTCACCTGCCACTTCAGGTCCAGGACTCAGTTCACTGGGACATTCCTCAGCCACTTCATGTGCTGCTTAGCTTAAAGCACTATTTACAAGGCCAGCCATTAACCAGCAGACAAGTTTCTAGTGTGCTAAAATAGCTTATTACTGTCAGAGCAGCTGCATGAAGTCCCAGAGAACGTGGCCAACGACGGCTCATGCTGAGTAACTGACCAGATTCAGGCTGCTTTCCCAATCCACCTGGAATTACAAAACATGACCTCACATCTCAGGTATGGGTACAATAGTCCTGGTGTTTCAGGCTGGGAGGTACTGCTGACTCCAGTGAGACCAGCCTGATCAGCATAAACATCGGAGCAGAGCTTGATTCTCATGCAGCTGCTCTAATACAGCAAGCCAAATAGGAAGACATTCTTCCCTGTGAGGATGGTGAGGCCCTGGCACAGGTTGCCCAAAGAAGCTGTAGCTGTCCCCATCCCTGTAAGTGTCCAAGGTCAGGCTAAAAAGGGCTTGGAGCAACCTGGTCTAATGGAAAGTGTCCCTGACCATGGCAGAGGGGTAGAATGAAATGAGCTTTAAGGTCCCTTCCAACTGTACCATGATTCTATTAATTAAATCTGAGCTGATAGCCCAACACAGCTGGTACCTGTGCAGGTATGAATGCAGCTACCACAGCTCTATATGCAGACTTTGCTGGAACCAAGTTCAGCATTACAAGTACCACCAGTGTGACTATCACTGGTGTAATCTGTCCTTGCAGTGCTCAGCTGACACACAGCACAGGATGAGATGCAGCAGAGGACTGCCCTGACAAACCATAAGCCTGGGACATAAACCAAGCCCTACTGAGCCATTACAGAGATCAGGATCCAGTAAAAGGGATTTTTGCAGAGAGAACATTTAAACAAGTGATCCTCTGTAGACCTGTTTCTCTCTTGGCCAAGAACAGGTAACTGTTCCCATGCTCTTAGCAGGCCCAAGGCATTCTGGTTCTTGGTACCATTCCTAATATCCAGAGATTTTATTTATTCTTCATGCTGATGCACTGTTAATGTATCAGTCCTGTAACTGTAAAAAAACACTTCTAGCACCTCTCTATCCTGAGATGCCTGTAGCAGCTTTTACCAACTCTGCAGCCAGCTGTCTGTTCCTCAAAATATGTGCAGGAGTCATCTCTGAGAACAGCCCTCCTGTTCTGCCCTTTGCATGTGAATTACCAGTGGACTCCATAAACCTTGCACAACTACTCCCCCTTTAGTGGTAAAGGAATTACACCCATAAGGAGCTCTCATAAATGGGCTATGTGAACTAGCAAGTGTTTATTTAAAAACTGCTCCAAAGTTTAGTTTATCTACCCCATCTCATCTCTAAATCTACTTAAATAGCCCAGCTCTTTGACAAACTTTTAATATTCACAGTGAATCTGACCTGCAGGGCTTCTGCAGAGCATATTTCCATGAAGACAAGGATAAATGTGTCATCAAAGGAATGATGGAACAGCAGAACCAGCACTACAGGTGATCCTTTGGAATGAAGTCCCCAGCATGACAGAGTCCATATCAGCAATATCTGAGGCAGCAGTGTTTAGTGCAGCACCGAGGACTTGGTACTGTAACAGAACACATCTGAGACACATCTTCAACAGCAGATCCTGCTCAGTTCTCTGTCAGCCATGAGATCCAGACTGACTTCCAGCCTGTGCAGGCATAGTGAATTTTTCCATGTACGCTTATACTTGCCAAGAATTACCTGTTAACAACATCAAGTTCCATGGTGAACTTGGCAGTGCTGGGTTAATGGTCAGATTTGCTCTTAAAGGTCTTTTCCAACCTAAATGGTTCTATGTTTCCAAGAGTACAGCAAAAGGCTTGTTTACCAGCAGCACGTTCAGGCACCCTGAGAGTTCAAGTCACTTTGCAAAGGAAGAATCCAGTCTAAGCCGCTTTGGCATCCTGATGGAATTAGATTCGCTGTTCCTTTCTGAGGCTGGACTATCTTGGGGATAGGTAGCTCAAAAGCCATATCAAGGTCCCTCCCTCATACTCAAGCTGAATAAAACTTGCCAGCAATCTTACATAATAGTCCTTTCAGCTGTGTGCCCTTCCAAAGAGGATCAAGTTTCCTCCTAGCCGAATTTGACCCCTGCTCCCTTCCAAGTCATCCAGCTAATTCTGTGGTCCCAGAGCAATCTGGCAGCCCTGTCCTCTCTCTGCAACATCTGAACCAGCAGGAAAAATACAAGTATGTGGTGAGCAAGTTATAAGCTGGAGAACTAAAGCTATTCCCAAGTGCTAGAAAATCCACTTCTCCAAAGCAAATAGACATGAAAATAAATTTCACTGCTCCCTGTGAAGTGCTTAGACTTTTGGTGCACAGGGGTCCGAGATATTCAGGCCCAATACATCCCAGAGAAGAAGTGTTACTGGAAAATGGGAAGAAACTGAGCTAGATTTTATGATTTAGGAGAGGGGAACAGTTGGGGTCAGGCACTACATGGGACTGCTGCAGCACAGAAGAGCATCACAGAGTGACGTGCACTGTAAGGAGCCTTAAAGATCACCCACTTCCAATTCCCTCCCATGGGCAGGGACACCTTCCACTAGACCAGGCTGCTCCAAGCCTCACTCAGCCTGGTTTTGGACACTTCAAGGGATGAGGCAGCCACCACTTGCTGGGACAACCTGTGCCAGTGTCTCCAGAAACTGGAGAGACGAATGAGGATTGCAGATTGCCTCCAGGAATCCAGTAAGACCACTAGAAACAGCAGCTTCTGGCAATCACATTGCCACCACTGGTGATACATTTCAGATTTTCTAACCACAGCTGCGACAAGCAGTAGTATGACAATGGTAGCTGAGCCATGTCCTGCTTACAATTCAGTGTCACAGACAGACTAGAGCCAGTACAAGACACTAAAGCAGTTAAATCCCAGGGTATAGAGTTAAACTTCCACTTACTCTTATTGGAAAATAATCCCTGAAGTACCTCCATATAGCCCAGTTTCTCACCCACTGGGATCTTCTTCCCCCTGTTGAGAAAAATGAATCATTTTTTTAAAGCACTTTCCACATGTCTGTCCATCAAAAAGCCTAAAGGACTCTGGCGTTTCCTGTCTCACTACAGGAATCAACACTTTCATTCCTCCAAGTGGGGCACTTGCATCATTCACTGAAATCAGTGCACACTTTGGAATACAAGGTACTTCAAGCAAATTATGGCCTGGTTGCAAATTCACAGTAGACAACTTTACAATTCAAACTAGAAACACTAAGATTCAACCCTTGGGAAAGGCCAAAATCCTGGATGATTTCAGCCATCTTGAAGCAATGGAGAACTGTGCTCATCTGGCTATGAAAGTAGTTGCCAAAGCCTGTTACCACTGCTGGTTCCCAGAGCTGGCTTCTACAGGTTGTTTTGGTTTTTTTAAAATAGTTTTCTGCTTAATTTGAAGCAACACTGGCTCCATAGAGGAGCCACATCTCAATCACATCATAATCTGAACCTTGCAAGAGGTGGAGAGGACAGCAAGGTCTTGAATCTTTAGACCTTTCTGAACTACAGAAAGAACCTATGATAGATGTGAATGTTAATTTTATATTGCCTTCAGCGTCAATGAAACCTGCAGTCACTGCTCATGCCGAGGGCTGACATTTAAATCCTTCACTGAATAATGCTTTTGGTCAGTGATTCAGCCAAGTCCCACTAAGAAGGGAAGTCATGCATTACAAGGAAATGGTTCTTTGTCCAAGTATCAAGACAGGGACACTTTAACAACAAGGATCTGTTCTGCAATATTTACCTTTTTTTGGTGTGTTCCAGTCAAATACCAGCCAGGCTAAATATAGAGCAGCAATTGCCCAGCAATCTGTGCACAGTATGTACATGAGGATTAAAGTGCAAGCAATACCTGGAGAGGTGCAAGAAAGAAGAAAACAAGGTTGCATGAGGTTTTGGTCTCTATTTACACTCCTTGCCTTTTGACTCTTTTATGCTGTAATCTTAGTCTCAGTCTGTTGTCATTAATCCTAAATCAAATTGGATTTGGCTAAAAACCCCTTAATGTAGGGCTGAGGCAGCTTCCTCTAGAGCTCTGGAGAACCTCAACCTCACCTTAATGGTGCCTCCAGGCGTTTCTCATACCTCCAGGTGGGGCAGCTGCTTCACCAGACTTGATGAGCACCAAGGTTTCTTTTTTGGTCCATACCAAGGGTTTTCCCCACAGCTACACACATCTTCCACAGGTTACACCAGCTCTACATCGGCCATCCCAACCAGGGTGCCAAGGATCCCACACACAAATTACACTGTTATTTTAGCACAAACTGCATTGGGAAAGTAGAGTGAGACAGATGCTGAGAGCAGTCATTCTCCAGTTTAATTATTAACAATCCAATGGAGCAGAACAGCCGGATGTTTTACAGAAACCAAGCACTCAGGGACAAGCAGGCTTCACCCTTTTACTGGTCTAACACAAACACTTCTTGCCCATCTCAGGTACCTCCTGGAAGGAGACCAAGCCAAGAGGAAGGCATTCCTGTTGCAATCACTTGCACCAGTTACCAGCTGCTTCTAAGAAACCCCTGTGGATATTCCCATGAGCGAGCCAAGTAAGACATTTCCAATTGTTTCAGCCTCATTTGCACAGCCATGAGCTAAACATCAGTCAGTCTTTCCATAGCTCTTATGACTTTCTAGAGCCAGGAAAAGTCATTTATGGTTGAAAATATCAGTGTAACTGGTTTACAATACCCACACACCCCAGGAACTACACTGCTGCAGTACACATCCAGTAATCAACACTTATGCAAAAGTCAACATTTTTGCATTAAAATTCTTTCAGAATTACAGCCAAAATCCCTTTGTTTTAGGTCAGAAGGCATTACCCATGATAAGGAAAGTGAGAACCCATTGCAGCACAGAGATAATTTGGAGTTGTTTCTCTACTTTGGATTTCAATAGCCAGAACAAATCCTGCAGAGCAGAAAGAATGTTCGATCCTGTACCTAAAGAAAGAAAAATAAAAGAAGTTACATTTGCACACTGAGCAAAGAGAACAATATTTTTCCTTTGAAATAGAATCATAGAAGGAAGAGTCATCAAGTTCAACTTATTTAGTAAGAGGTTTCAGATGAATGTGCAGTTTGCTTTTAGAGCAAGGCTTGCTAAAGGCTAGTATTTTCCACAGAGTTTGGGCATCCTAGAAGAGGAAGGATTGCCATCTGCCAACATCCAGCTTTTTTCAGATCACTAGAGGGGATTAATGGCAACCATCAGTACCCACCTGAGCAAGGCTCTGTTCACTTGACCATAAAAATGCAGAGGATGTTAACACGTGCTCCTAACACATACCCTCACCTCAAACTGCCAGCTCCTTGAAGTGGTGTTTGATAAGAGGGAACCCCATGAGCTCACAGTAAGATAAAGATCAGCTGCCTCAAAGCACAGGCAAGCAGACACCAGGTTGTGGTCTGAGCTATTCTCACCCACCCTTCGCAAGACCTGTTGCACAACTCCCAGTGCTGTTCAAGGAAAGCTCTGTGCTCCAGCCTTACTCAGCACAGCCCAAGGGCTGGTTGAGCAACACTTCAACATATAACCCGGAGGGATCCACAGCTCTCAGCATTCCTAAAGCAGTAAATAAGAAGGAAGGAGCTGAAAGCCACTCTTGTAGAAGCTTAAGATATTCAAGCGGGGGAAAAAAACCACAAGTGTTTAAAACACTGAAAACGCTTTCCATATGAAGAACAACCCACTGCAGCTTTTGGCAATATACCCAACCTTCAGAAAGAAACACTTGCAGGTGGGTTTTCCTTCACTTTTCTTCATTGCTTTTTTTACAAGCACCATAATAACTGGCCAAAATACAAATCACATTCATGTGTATTTACATATTTCCTTTTGTATTTAAGGATTAGCCTGTTATTAGGACTATGAAAGAAGCAATTACACTGAATAGGTTCAGTTCTTGCTGACAAGATATGAGCCTGCTAGTGGGAACAGCATAGCAAGTGTTCACACTCAGTCAAATGAGAATGATTGAAAATAGCTTCTCTAGGTATAAGCAGGCACTAGGATTTTTGGTCATTTCTACAAAGACACTCTCACTGGCACATCCTTTAAATATGTAAAGCAACTGTTTCATAGGAATGAGAGTCAATTTAGATTAGATAAGGAAGAAGTTTTATGCTATGAGGGTGGTGAAACACTGGCACAGGTTACCCAGAGATGCCTCATCCCTGGCAACACTCAGGGGGGAGTCACACCAAAGGCTGCAGTCTAAATTTAGAGCCAGACCACCCAGCTCAGACCCTTGGTTCTGCTTCGTCCATGTTACATGGACAATCCCAGTAGTGCATTGGGCATTAATTACTCTAAGCAGACCAAGTTTTAGGCTGGGATAGATCACACCACTACAACTGCCAGTAAAGTGAAACCTACAGCACTAACCCAGGTTGAAGCAGCAGCTAGAGCTGGAGGCAGTTCTTTACAAGACAATATAGTACAGTATTAAGAATGAAACCAGCAAGTAATTCTCCTGTTTGTGAGGTGAGACAGGAGAATATGTTGAGTTAAACTGTCACCATGCATTAATTTGCCACACTAGAGTATCTAAGCAGTCAGATTCAGAAATCCCATGCTGTAAAATCTAGTAGTAAATCCCCAAATTTGGGTTGACAGATAAACTTTACCCTTTATGACCTTTATAGCTCATCTCAATCCAATGCCCTGCCATGGGCAGGGATACATTCCACTAGACCAGGCTGCTCAACTCTTGCCGCAGGGCCACAACTCCAGGAACTTGCTATCCCAAAAACCTTACCAAATTGCATGTAGACAGAGGATTACCAGATACAAGTTTAAAGAAAGCATTTGGCAATAGTGGTGTCACCTCAAAAGAAGCCAAAAGTCTTAGAGATTATTTGTGACTAACAAAAAAGCCCAACCCCATCTAATTTTTCTCTCTCAGCACCTGCATTTACTCTACCAAACCTCTATGGCTTCATAAAACCAACACTCCAGCCTTGGATCAGCTAAATCCCTAACCTCTTCCCAAAGAGAACAACTGTTTATCCCTCAAGATGAGAATTTGTACTTCAGCATTTTCTAAATGTTTGAACAAATTGTAGGTATTGCCAGCCCTGTAAATAGACCAGTACTGGGTAGCTCAAGTTAACTTGTTTTTCGAACCACATGAAACATTCAACTGCTGCAGACAGAGGGAAGGCAGTGGTTTGGCAGACAGCTCTAAGCACCTGCCCTTGGACAAGTGTCCTGGGTCACTTATTTCCTGAAAGCAAAGATACCCTTCAAAGAGAACAAGATTCTCCACACCAAAAAAGTCTGCAGTTACCATGGCCTGAATATTAACATTTAATTCCCAGTTAAGAAATGAAAGATGCCCAGTAGCAAAGGAAAGGACTGTGGCAATGGTCAGTCAACCTGGCAAGTCCATCAAGGTCTACCTTTGCACCAAACCTGCAGACTCCAGATTAACCCATTTCATTAACCAGGCATTTACAGATTTTAGTGCCAAGATAACCCTTTCCAAACAGTCCTGAGATTCCTGTTCATCATATCATGACACTGTGTACTCAATCTCCCACGCAAGCCTTGTTTCCTTTCAGCTTCAGTAGCCGGAAGGCATTTTTTGAAAGACTCTCCATGCTTTGAAGAACCAGGCCAGTTACTAGTGACACAGCAGAAGAGCTTTGACAAGTCAACAGAAAAGGGAGGGAAGGGGAGTTGGCACTCAGCCACAGAAGAATAACCCAACACTGACACTTGAGTTCAGTCCATTAGAAAAAGTACTTCCTCTAAGGGCTCACATGCGGGCCCACTCCAAGCACCCTTCACATATTTAAAAACCCAAGGTGTTCTCTGTAACTTTCAGAAAACAGATTATCCTAATAACCTAGTTTAAAGAGCCCAATAGTCAGAACTATATTTTGTAACCATTTTTATCAGTCTTTTCCCAAGGAAATATTCTGAATCCCAAAGAAACCCAAACCTCCATCTTCTACCACTGAAGACATCACCTTGTCCTGTGCTGGCCACACACCACAGACTCTGGAGCATTTTCCAGGGTACCTATCCCAGAGCTGGAAAACCTGACTGGGGAGCCTTAACTAGATGATGATTAAGATCCTTTCTAAACCAAGCCACTCCATGACTGCTGGGGTCAGTCTTAGCAAACCACATTTACACAACACATACTTCCCCAACAGCTTTCCTAGTCTCAGATGAGATCCTGAGCACCCCAGCTCATACTGCAGCCCATTCTCTGGAGTACCAATGGGACACTCCCTGCACTAAACCATGCAAGGCTCTCAAGGATGTTCCTTGTAACAATGGACAGAGTAACAACTTCTCCAGGAGACCTCCCTGCTGCTCAGCGATGGCAGTCACCTGCAGCCTTCCAAGGAAACTCAGGAACATTAGCCAGCTATCCTGGAACTGATGATGGGCTCACCATACTTTTATCATTTAATTCCATTTAACATCAAGTGCAGGAGTTGCTACCAAGAAGACCTTGGAGTCAGCAAATGGTTTGGCCAAGCGTTTGACTCCTGCAATACAGACTCAGCATCTGGCGCTCTTCTAACACAGTTTATTTCACATAAATTACACAAACAACATTTATCTAGGCAGGGAAGTAGAATCAAAGATCCCAAGAGTGGAAGTAAACAGGACTTCACATGTGGACACCAGAAAAACCCAACTGACAGGACTTAAATAAAAGTCAGACAAAGAAATTAACTGAGAGGTAGTACAAGTGTTACATATAGTTAAAAATACAGCAAAACCTTGTTAAAGCCAAACTTATATGCCACCTTTTCTAGACAATTAGCATGTTAATTCTTGGCCAAGAATTAAACTGCTTTACACAGGTTATTTAGAGGAAGATCGTATTAGATCCATCAAAACATAAGCTGCAAATGGACATTCTGAGCTATGTATTTGGAAGAGAAGCTGAAATTGGAGGCATAGGAAAGACAGATAAGATAAACAGACCAATACTAGAATATTCAGAAGGATTCAGACTCCCATGCAAGAGCAGGAGCAGACACAGCACACTGGTACAGCTATAAAACCCCTTGAGCAATACAAGTTCTTTTGTCCTGGGTTTACTTGGGTGCCCCAAGTAAAAGCATATTCACTATAGAGTAAAAACTTTGTTAGGAAAATAATGAGTAACCAGCGGAGAGAATAGTTATCCTGCCCTGTACACAGCTTTAGAAGAGTTTGCTCCTGTCCCAGGAAGCTACTCAATCCCATATTATCTGCACCATGGTGTGTCTATAACTGGAGATCAACAATATTGTTAGCATGGACATGCAAATAAAATTTGTATCAGCTCTTCTGGAAAGGAGCTGGGATTCTCCAGACCCAGTAAACAAATCTGTCCTGACACTTCTCATTAGTTCTGCATTTACTCACAGCACTAAACCCAGCCCTCAGTCTCTATACTCACAGCTGTATGTAGGTTAAAGTGATGTAACCACAGGACCCCACTGTCCCAGACCAGCCAACAAGCTTAGATTGAAGTTAGCAAGAATGAACAGGTCTAGAAAAGAGAAAATGGCCCACCCTACTACAGCTCATCAGTGTGTCCAGAGGACATGAGAGCTCTGAAAGAGGAGTTTCATGTGAGCAACCTCCCAAGCAACTCCATCAAGAGAAAACACCTCATTTCAGCCAGCCGTGATCCTGTTTTCCCAAAATAGGAGCTCCCAGGCTGCCCATCCCAGAGCAGAACTGATCTCTGGCAAACCTCACATGCTGTGTAAGACTAACTCCAAGGTAAAGCTAAGCAAAATCACCTTCCTTATCCCAAACTTCTGACTGATGAAGCAACATTGGGGGACACTTCAGCACAGGACACCTTTCAATGTTCCAGCCACACTGGCATCTTTCCTCAGGAGAGAGGGATGAGAAATCTCCTTGCTGCTCTGCCAAACACAAGAAGGAGACTGCCTGGGCATCCTATGGCCAGTGTGGGGCAGGTCAAGATGAGGAGACCACAACCCCTCCTACCCAACCAGGTGTTTTAGAGCATGATCAAATCCTAGGCATTGGTCCAAGATCTACTCTGATTTTTACAATACTGAGTTGATATCCAAGGATATTCCTCTGCATATATACAGGGATGAATATAGAGGCAGATGCCTGCAGCTCTTTCTTTTTCTGCTTGCTTTTAAATAGGACCAGACTTAATTCAGCCAAATTTACAAGCACCAAGACAAAATCAGATGCCAGGAAAGCAATGAGACTAAAGGACAGTATGAGCCATTCAGATCCTCACCCTAAAGTCAGCTCTTTGCACAAGCATGATACTTGGAAAAAAACATTCAGGGAGGTAGGAAAAAAAAGAAAGCTAGCATGTTTGTTCTACACATCCTCTGTAGTGGGAGAAGTTGTCCAAAGTGATCAAGCAGTATATAAGATCTCATGAATGAACCTCTACACCACACGACCGCTGCCAGTTTTGACCTGCAGGATCCCACATCACTATCCTCAAAACCCAGCGCAAGTCGGAGCTCCTCTGGGAGGCACCTGGGTTCAGCTTTGAAGCCAGTCCTGTGCTCTCCTGCCCAGGCAGGCTACAGCACTGGCGAGGGGTTGGTGGATGTTGCAGTCACCAAGGCAACATCCCCTGTCTCCCCAGGCAGAAAAAAGTTACATTAAGTTAAAAAGCACAAATATTACTGTAGCATCCCCACCAGGTGCCTCAGAGGAAAACTGACCTGAGGAGAGTTAAGACATCTTTCCATCACTAATCAGGATTATCTAGAGATGAGGCCAATCACTGTCCCTAAACTACACTCCATTTTGAATTATCCATGTGTCCTAGATCCATCATTAACATGCCCGTTCTAACAAGGAGGCTGCTGAGGTTTCAGGTCAACCCTACATATTTTATAGGTTTCCTGAATTATTTATTCTCTGCACTTAGTTTGCAGTTAACTCTCAATTTTATGGTTCAGATACTGCTAATTCAAATGACTTCTCTCAACTGAAAACAAAACTTCTCCTCTGTTAGTCATGCAAGCAAGCAAAGTTATTTTAAGAAACAGATCCGAATACAGGAAACACATGCAGGTCTTCTCCCCACTCGGTTCACAACTGATCCTTCATATCAATCTCTAATATCCTTCTGCCTGAGATGAGCACCAGCAGCTCAACACCCAGGGGCAGCACAGTGCAAAAGCAAGACCTCAGGGGTTAATACACCAGGCTCATGTCCTTTCAGCTCTGCTAATGATTTGTTTAATCAATAAGCCATTTCACAGGTCTCTTAATCCCAGGAGGTATTACCAGATTGCTTTCTGAGGGTAAAAAGCCTTTCACAACACATAGCAATCTCTCAAAGACCCTCCACAAACCGCAGGGTAAATCATTGTCATTGCAGTTTTCATGAAAACTGCATTTTCATGAAAAGCCCTCGCTGTTTGCTAATCCTGATCTTTCTCTAGACAAGCACCCTAGCAGAAGGGATACAAAACTCTACCCAGCAAAACATTCAGACTTGCTGAATTTATTCCTGCAAGATCCTTTGAGATTCCTTTACAAGCAGGCAAGGTAACTTGTGATTTGGGATTTCCGACAGTGTCTCTCCAAAGCCTTTAACCAACATGTTCCAGCGTGCAGGGAAGTGCTCGGTGTCTGCAGCAGCTCTGCCCACGATGGGTGTCAGCCACTGACACCCACTGCACTTCTCTGAGACAGTCACATACCATACCAGCACGGAGGGCTGTTAAAGCAAACTTGGCAGAACTGGTTACCACCAAACTCCTGCTGAGCGCTGAATCTTCAACTCCTCATTGTAAGACAGCAAAAATAGCAACATATTGCCATTTTTTCCCTCTCCCCTCGATGTAGGTGTCGGGAAGACAGAATTATGAAGCAGTTGGACTTGCTAAAGAGGCCTTTTCCAAGCTACATGATTCTATGAAAATAAAGCTGAGCCTGAACTCGGCCACACCGTGCCTATAAAACTACTCCACTTCTCTTCCTACCACGACGAAAAGACTCCTTTATACTCAAGTGTCCCACGCCCACATTTTGCAAGCTCACTATGGTTTGCACCTTGGCAAAATGTGCAAGACCACCCAGAGCCGTTTCCAGCAGCCCCAGGAGCGCAGCCCGAGCCGCTCAAACAACAAACCTGCGCAGAGATCTGTAATCCTCAACCCAAGAAAAGCTACAGCTGTCTCCCCGCCATTGCACATCGCTCTTCCCCCTCCTTAATGCCCTTGAACAATGTTCCTGCGGTCAAAAAAAAAAGGGGGGGGGGACATCATAAAGCTGAGTGTTTCTGTGCTATCCCCCACGCCGCCCCCCAAACCCCTGAACCAGCGGCATGCTGCTCCGCACCGCAGCATCCCCCTCCGGCCGGCAGGACTCACTTCCAGCCCTTCCCACCGCCGCCTCCCCCCTGCGTACCTCGGAGCACCCCGGAGTAGGCAGCGATGATGGTCTTCATGCTGAGAGGCGTGGTTAGGACTGGAGCAGGGCCATGGGATGGAGAAGGGCACCCGGCTGGCAGGAGAGGCTCCGGCCGCGTATCCATATATAGCCCGGGAAGGAGGAGGAGACGAAAGGAGGGCGGAGCGGCCGGCCCGGCCCGGCGGAGCGCCCGCGGCTCTCCAGCCCGGCCGATGCTGCTTTCTGCGTGGGATCGGGATTTGGGAGCGGGGAGAGCAAGCAGAGGCCCGCCCCCTCATGAAACAGGGTATTTCATGGCCTGTTTTATAGAATCACAGAACAGTTTGGATTGGCACACACGTTAAGAGTCATCCATTGCCACTGCCATGAGCAGGATCACCTTCCACTAGACTAGGTTGCTTTAAGCCACCTTCAGCCCGGTCTTGAACACTTCCAGGCACGGGGCAGCCACTGCTGCTGCTCTGGGCAACCTGTGCAAGGGCCTCACACCATCACAGCCAAGAATTTCTGCCCGATATCCCATCTAACCTGCCGTCTGGCAGTGGGAAGCCATACCCGTTTGTCCTGTCCCTCCAAGCCCCTGTCCAAAGTCCCTCTCCAGCTCTCTTGCATCTGCTTTAGGCACTGGCAGGCTCTCTGAGGTCTTGCCAGAGCCTTCTTTTCCCCAGGCTGAACACCCCCAGCTCTCCCAGCCTATCCCCAGAGCAGGGGGACTCCAGCCCCCCGAGCATCTCCATGGTCCCCTCTGGACACACTCCCAAAAGCTCAGTGTTGTTCTGATGTTGGACCCCAGAGCTGGAGGCGGCTCTGCAGGTGGGGTCTCACCTGAGTGGGGCAGAGGGGCAGAATCCCTCCTCCCCTGCTCCCCACACTGTGGGATCAGCCCAGCACACGGGGGCTTCTGGGCTGGCAGAGCACATGGCTGGGGCATCTTCAGTTTCTTCTTCACCAGCACCAAGTCCTCATTTTTAGAGCTGCTCTCAATCCATTCTCCCCCCTCACTGGTGGGGAGAGGATCACCCCATTCCTCTACTAGTGATGGGCTATTTAAGAAACCATAGCCCTCTTCTTGCTCAAATGCTCTCCCACCCCATTCTTGGCGGATTTTATCTTCCCCATTTGGCTTTGGGAGTTCTGGGTTCCTGAAAGAATCATCAAATTAAGAGAAAAGGTAAAAAGGAGGAAAATTTTGTCATTTTGATGATTTTTTTAAAAGGAATTTTAATGAAAATGGAATTAATGAAAACTTTAAAACTTAACAGAAGCTCTAATGGTTTCATTAAGTATCATTTTCACTAAGATGACCTGCAGGTAATGTCCAAACCACTGATCAAGTCTCATTTTCTTCTAATATATTTAAGGGCCTATTCAACTGATCCATAAGAAACAAGGTGTTATTTAGGTTTGCACCAAGGTTTTAATGTAGCTGCACTTGCCACTTGAGATTCCTGGGGACAGATGGGTCTGTCCCAGCTTCCATGACATTAAACCAGATTCTTTATAACTTTATCATGTCTGGGTAAGATGGTAAAGGAGGGACTTTGATATAGCTCTGGACAAAGAATCAGGCCTCTGTCTCTTCCCTAATCTCAGTTTCATCTTCTGTAATTTGGAGAAAATGGAATAATCTGTATTTAAGAAGCACTTCAGCATCCCTCAAAGAAAAGCCTGTGAAATGCAATGAGCTTCTTACATGCAGAGGACAGCAATCACAACTGAAACAACTCTGAAAATGCCTCAATTTTTGACTAGTTCTTTAGTGGGAGCAGGATCATGCCTAGCTGTGTCAGCAGTTTTTTCTGGTTGCTTTGGAGATGCTGCTGCAATATCCACTTTTTGGCCCAGAGAGACATGTCTAGCAGTGTGTTTCATTGAAAAAAAAATAAATTAATATTTTCTGCTGTGGAAAGCTTAAATATACAATTCAGAGGTGAAAGAATGGTTTATTTTTCTTCTCAGTCCCTTGAGGCATTCCCACACCCATCCTTATGTGTCAAAATAGCAACAGGACTTGTTTGCTCCCCATTAGACCATAAGGCTGTGTTCCAACACTTGTGGAAATCTGCATAATAATGTAAAATTGCAAGAGCCTGTCTGAAGAAAGAGTCTTGACCAACAGGTCTTGGCTAAGACCTCCAAAAGGGAGCGCAGAACTGAAATAAATCACTCTAGCATACTGCTGAGTGAAAAGATGTCTTCCTGCCTGCCTATGTTCCCTGTTGAATTAAATAAAGTTATCTGCAAGCAAAGAAAGGCTGAGGTATCTCTTCTTATTGTAACTGAAAGAAAAGCCTGCAAAAAAAAGAATCACACTGCAAGGTCATGACAGGCATGAGACAGGCAGATGGAAAACAGCTGAATTGTTGTCTCTGTCCAGATCCATAATCTTACTATTTATATATTCACCTTTTATATATTTTGGTGCAGATTCTCTGAATCCTGATTATACAATCACAAAATGGTCTGGGTTGTAAGGAAGCTAAAGCTCATCCATTTCCACCCGCCTGCCATGGGCAGGGACACCTTCTACTAGACCAGGTTGCTGTGAGCCACTTGCTTGAACACTTCCAGGGGTGGGGAAACCACTGGGAAACCTGTGCCAGGGCCTCACCATCATCACAGCCAAGAATTTCATTCCCAATATCCCATCTAACCTTGCCCTCTGGCAGTGGGAATCCATTCTCCCTTATCCTGTCCCTCCGTGCCCTTGTCCAAAGTCTCCCTCCAGCAGTCTTGGAGCCCCTTTAGGCACTGGCAGGCTTTAAGGTCTCTAGTAGCTCCATATCCTTCTGATGTTGAAGGCAGCACTGCAGGTGAGGTCTCACCTGAGTGGGGCAGAGGGGCAGAATCACCCCCTCCCCTCCTGTCCATGCTGTGGGATTAGCTCAGGCCCAGGACATGGGGTTTTTCTGGGCTGGTTTTCCTGCTCCATATACTGCAATGGTATCCCAGCTTAGATGGATGCATTAAAATTTAAATAAATAAACTAATAATAATAATAATAATAACATCCTTTAGTGCTTAGTGGATTATTACAGCTGTCAGGAGTAAAAATGCAACCACCATACATAGCCTAAGCCGCTGCTTTAATTTGTGACTTGAAGTTGCAAATTATGTCACCAAGGTTCTTGTAAGGAAGGGAAAAATTAAGCCTCGACCTGATGATACAACTAAGCCCCAGAACAGCCTCTCCCTTCACAAGGGCATGTAGTGACACAGTCAGGGAATCCCTTTAACCTGACAGAGGGCAGGTTTAGATGGGATTTTGGGAAGCAATTCTTGTCAGTGAGGGTGGTGAGGCCCAGGCCCAGGTTGCCCAGAGCAGCTGTGGCTGCACCATGCCTGGAAGTTTTTAAGCACAGGTTGGATAAAGCTTGGAACAATGTGGTCTCGTGGAAGGTGACCCTGCCCTTGGCAGGGGGTTGGAACAAGATGGGCTTTAAGGACCCTTACAAACCAAACCATTCTCGTATTCTTTGACTCCCACTACTTGAGCAGTGCAGTCCAATATCTCATTTCTTTTACCAGTACTTGTTCTGCAACTTTTTTCCCACTCACTGAAAATCAGCAGTCCCAAATAATAGATTAGAAATATCTTGGCAATGTTCCCATAAGGATATTTTTTCCAACAAGAAGCCATGCACTGGGTGGTGGTTTGATAGATGATTTTGGAAAAGCCCAGGACGTTTTCTTGATGTTTTGGTTGATGTAGGAGATACATAACTTTGTCTGATATTAACCTGTGTGTCTGGCATGATTATTCTTCAGCAATAACATCTGTTCAAATACCTTACTATTACTTCACATGAGTCTAAAAAACATGTGCTGTGGACAGAGAAACACTGAGAGGAGCCAATCCTCCAGCTCTCTGCAGCCAAGAACAATTCACAATAGTTTTAGACACCTTTATTTCTGGGTTTTAATGGCAACAAAATCTCACAGCAAAAAAATCCTTATGCAGTCACTTTTTTTTTAATACATGTACTGAATTTTTAGGGCAATGCCTGTTGAATAAAGCTTTTAAAAACACATTTATTTTTCCCTTCCCACTTCTATTCAGAGACTGCAGAAATTGTTTCCAAGGTGTGGGGTGGATTTGCAGTACTTTTGAGTCAGAACTTGGGTGTAGAGCTCTGTAGCTTCATCTCTGTACGACTACTTAGTGGCAGAAAATGCCTTGCTTTCAAAGAATCAGTGTTCAATGTCTTCACCCAGAAGCTTGGATGTATGGAAACTTCCTGTATTTGGCTTGTCAGAACACATTACATCCCCCCAGTGTAGGGATTATGCGTCTTTGTAATTACCTTCTCTGATTTATAACCATAGAATCACTTACCTGCATGAGTTAAATCTGTGCTTATGGATTTTTCAGTTTTCTCTTTTAGAGCAGTAGTATTTTTAGAAATTTTTTGTTTCAAGAGTTGATATATGTCTTAAAAACAGAGGATTTACAGCTACCAGGACTGTTCATTACTCCAGTGGTCTCTGTACAAGCTGCAACCACAGCATCTGAAAAGGGCCTTTTCTGCACAGTTTTGACTCCTGGCCTGCTAAGATATCCATTCCACTATGAAAGGAGGAGTCAGGAAGGATTATTTTATAGATTTCTCAGGTGAAAAAAAAGCGCAAACGCGGTAATATTACATCTGAGAACTGTTTATTGATAAAAAGGGGAAGTATTCCTACTAAGGTGGGAGGGGAGGGAGGAATAGCAAAAGGAGCAGAGAGGGGGAAAAGGAGGAGGGAGAAAGAAACAGAAGGCGAGGACAGCGTTACCACAAGAACCCCAGCTCAGGCTCTCACAAACATCAATGCTGGCAAAATTATGCTCCTGGACATCTGCTCCTGCCTTTTTGGAGGTCCATCCATCAGCTTCTTACAAGTATTTTTAGCATTTTGTACTGAGGTAGCAGAAAAACAGTGGAGGGTTCATCTGTCTTTTGATTGTTTTTCCTGCCCCGATGGGAGCACTTCACATTCTAGGTAATATTTATGGAAATGTGCTGTTGGCTCACCCAAGTAATGAGCTAAATCTTGAGCTAAGGGAGAAGAGGTGTGTTCCCACATCCCCACACATTACCTGCTTCTC